AATGAGGAAAACAGTAAATTTATGAGAATAGGGACCTGTCAGGTGGAAACGACGCTAGAAATAACGGTAAGCACAGGAAAAAAGATCTTTGAGGAGGTGGATGAATTTGTCTATTTAGGATCTCTAATTAGTAATAAAACAAATGAGGAAACAGAAGTAAACTACAGAATCGGTAAGGCCAATAAATGTGCGGGAATGCTTAACAGAAATATTAAGTCAAGAAATGTATCTAGAGTCTCCAAAATAAGGCTATACAATACGATCAAGCCAACGCTTTTGCATGGAGTAGAACCCGGGTTACTAATAAAAAACTTGAACAAACATTACTTGGGTGGGAGAGGAAAATTTTAAAGAGAATATATGGAGGGATCAAGGTGGAGGGAGGGTATCTTAGGAGGTCTAATACTGAAATCTATCATCTATATAATGAACCAAACATAATAGAAGTAGCTAGGACCAGAAGATTGCAGTAGCTGGGGCACCTGGAAAGAATGCCGCAAGAAAGAACAGTGAAGCATATAGCATGGAGAGTTCCGGATACCAAGAAGAAAAGAGGGCGACCGAGAGGCACATGGAAGGATGTGGTTATGGAAGAATTGAGCACTAGACAAGAAGTGGTAGAATAAACTTATCAAGCTTAGGGCCTAAAGGCCTGTTTTATAGCTGTGTGTATATATATATATACAGCTATAAAACAGACCTATAAGATATATATATATATATACATGTATATCTTATATTGACTAAATTTTGGAAAATACAACATTCGGTTATCCCTTTTGGGCTAAATTAGATCAATATGTTATTTTGCGATATTTGTTGCAGAGTATACGCTAAAATTATTAGTCATTATGCTACAATTGCGGACTTATTATTATTATTCTTCATTGCCCGCGTACAATAAAGATAAATTGGAATATGTGATTTGAGTCGGCGAGTCCTACAAAATTTTTATAATTGGTTGGGACGCTATACGAGGTATGTCTTGCAACCAATATGGAATTTTAATATTGAGTCAATCATGTATTAGCTTAATACTGTAAGGCAACGTTGAACCAATATTTTTATCGTTGATTGGGACAATAAGCAAAATATGACATACAACCAATATTGAAAATTAATGTTGAGCCAAGTATTGCTCTAATAATGTAAATAAACAATACAATAGTTTTGCCATAATTGTTTGGGACAATATACAAATTGTCATGCAACCAATATTGAATTATAATATTGAGCCAATAAAAATATTGGTTTGATATTGCAAATCATTATTGCACCAATATTTTTCTTGCACCAATATTGAAAAACTTGAGCCAATGCAATGCAAGTCTTCACCATGTTGAAAAGTTGCCAAATAGCACCGAACAGCTGCTGATGGTCTGTACTTTTTTCTCAAAAAGTTATATCGAAGTTTGGAGACATTCACTGGTCTCCTAGGTCACTCGACCTCACGCCATACGATTATTTTGTGGGCTTAAAGTCAAATGTGTATTCCAATAATCCATGAACACTGGAGGAGCTTAAAGACAAAATTCGACGAAAAATAAACAACATCACCCCGGAACTCTGCAAGAGGTAGTGTTTCAGAATTTGTCCGAAGGGATAGCAAACATTTGGACGGAATCATATTTAAGAAATAAAACCCGCCGATCTTATGAATATGTTGTTAGTAATAAATATTTTCTTTTCATTAAGTTTGTCTTTTTCTTAAATTAAAAGTGACCTTTCCCACTGGACTGGTATTATGAAAAACCATGCCACTCATCTTCGTTGGTCTGTCTGTCTATCGGTAGATCTACTTCTCTGCTAATCCTTGGCCCGTCTATAACTTACTACTAAGTGGCGGCGAAGAAAAAGTCCAAAAATGAAAAAACAAAATCACTCAAACTTCAATTGTATACATTTTCAGGGGTCCAGATCCCAAATGTTACATATTAAGCACGAAGCATTTTTTTGGAATCGAACCTCAACAACTTCTAGCGGTATTTACAAGCAACGTGTGCCAGGGCGAAACTTGAAATTTTTATACAGTGATTTTCTTCAGCTTTTCTTGATGTTACTTCATCGTTACTACAACTTTGTTATTTCAAACGCAATTGCGTACAAAAAGTAAAGTTTCATCCCTCATAATAATCTGTATACAAGTACAATGTATCTTCTTTGGTCTTTAGGCTGCTTGAAACTCCATTGACAAGCATCTAAACTAAGACCGAAACAAGCAGTCAGACAGCACGCCACGTGTATTTTGTAGTGCATATGTTACGGTTAAAGTATTTGCTTAGCTAGCTTATAAATTAGCTGGATAGTATATAAACTATGCAAAGGTATGGTTATTTTGATCGAAAATCATAGATTCACTAAAATAGCTACTACTATTGGTTGGCTTGTATACTATCTAGTTAGTCTATCAAATATACAAGATTTATCGCCAAAGTACCACAAGAAAGTTATATAAACTAACCAGAATTTGTGGCTAGTTCACAAGCTATCCACAGTAGTTGGATAAAGTGTGAACTTAATATCACTAGTAATACATAATAATAAACTCGTTGGTTAGATTGTAAACTAACAAATCCTCTTTGGCTAATTTAGTTTAGGATAGTAAAATAATTCTCTGTCAAAAATATATTTTATTTTTAGGTACAACGTAACATTTCTTTTACTACTCAAAAATAAGAAAAAGGAAGTAATAGAAATAGTATTTGTGTGTCAAAATATTAATAATAAACCCGAAAACATTAAAGTTCTGAAACGAAGAACATTATTATTTATTGGAGCAAGTTGCACTGTTGTGGCTGTTACAAGTATATCCGGTAGCAAAACATTTACACTTTTTATATATGTAAATCATAAGTATTTACCACATAATAATCATTCTTGTTTTTATGGTTAGCTTAAGATTGACGTATTCTGTTTATACGTTGCAAAAGTTCAGTATAATCCCTATCATTCATTAATTTTGAATTCTGCGACTTTTGGTCATAAAATTCCAAGAGTATTTTTTCAAATTCTTGCTGTTGATTTATTTTCAATAGCTGGATGCTTATTTAGGAACGGAATTCACAAGATATGATACTAAGCAATAACAAATGCTTGCTACAAACCACCTACAAACCTCATTTTTCCAATAAATCAACCAGATGATTAGTTAGTTTACAATACTAACCAACGAATTGGTTATTAAATATACTAAGTGACATATAAATCCGAACACCCAGTTTAAATGGTTTTATTTTAATAAAAGTTGGTGAATGTATTTATCTTACTGTAAATAACAAGTGAAAAAATTTTCAGCCTTATCAGTTGGACATTCCAGTTTTTATACTGCTTTTTTTTATTCACTAACGCTCTAAAAATGAATATTTCAGCCGCAGTAAAGAATCAACGTTGGCGGATTTTGGTTCTTGACATCCTTTACGATCGGTTACGATGCCTAGAGTACGGAGACCTGTACGATTCCGTCAACTTAGTGAGTTTGATAGGGGCCGTATAGTGGGACTTCGGGAAGCTGGACTTTCTTTTCGGGCAATTGCAGTTAGAGTGCAAAGAAGTGTAGACACTGTGGTTAGGTGTTGTCAGGCATGGCTTCGAGAAGGCCGTACGCAAAGAGCAAGGGGCACTGGACGCCGCCGTAGAACAACAGACCGTGAAGATCGCCGCCTAAGAGTATTGGCCTTAAGGGACCGTTTCTCCACTACCAGGTCCATTGCAAATGAATGGTTTGCAGAACATGAAAGACCTATTGGCATGCGAAGTGTTTACCGACGAATGAGAAGTTTTGGCTTGTTTTCATGCCGGCCACACTGGGTCCTCCCTTTAACTCGAGAACACCGACGTAATCGCCTTGAGTGGTGCAGACAACGGTCACTCTGGGATCAGAAATGGAACAGTATTGTCTTTAGTGACGAGTCTCGATTTTGTTTAGGCATGCATGATGGTCGTGCCAGGGTTAGAAGGCGACGTGGTGAAAGGAGGAATCCACAGTTTTTTGTTGAAAGACATGTTAATCACACTGTTGGAGTTATGGTTTGGGGTGTTATAGCTTATGGTTCCAGGTCACTTATAATCTTCATCAGAGGTACCATGAACGCGCAGCGTTATATCCACGAAGTTCTAGAACCCCATCTTTTACCCTATCTTGACACCCTGGCAGATCCAACTTTCCAACAAGGTAATGCCCGACCACATGTTGCAAGAGTCACAATAGACTTCTTTCAACATAATGATGTCACATTGTTACCATGGCCACCAAGATCTCCCGACTTATCCCCAATTGAGCTCGTGTGGGATATGATGGGTAGGAGATTGCTCAATTTGCAACGTCCTCCTCAGACTCTAGAAGCACTTCGAGAGGAGTTGGTGGTTGCCTGGAATGAGATACCACAGGAGGACATTGACCACCTGATCAGAAGCATGCCTAGGCGCGTTGGAGAATGCGTAGCACATCAGGGTGCATCCACAAATTATTAAAGGTCAAAGGGCTTTAAAGCAGTGCAATCACTTTGAAATTTTTATCATTTACTTATTATGCTTCACTAAGTACTTATACAAAATTTCATTAAAATAAAACCATTTAAACTGGGTGTTCGGATTTATATGTCACTTAGTATATCACTAGGAATGCTGAGCTCACACTTTATCTACCTACTGTGGATAGTTTGTGAACTATCCAAAAATTCTTGTTAATTTATGTAATATTGTCGAAGTTTATACTTTGGCATTAAATCTTTTACAGCTTATAGAATAACTGGATAATATACAAACCAACCAATATTCGTAGCTATTTTAGCGAAAAGTTGATTTCCCAACAAAGTAACGAGACATATGGATAGTTTGTATACTATACAGCTAGTCTATAATCTAGCTCAGTAAGTACTTTAACCGTACCGTACACCTATACACTTATTGCTATATGAGCCTTCTCGATAAGTAATGCAGTCTAGGCGCCCATGAGTCTAGCTCAACGGGCCACAAAATTGTTTTTGCAAAATTTCGCCTGGCAACCAAGCAACGGGCGCGCATTGGCCGTTCCTCTGGTTAGGGGCGGAACTCTGGATCGTCTGGAATCAATAACGCAACCGCCGCGCTCCATTGGAGGGGGGTAGGGGAGAGAGGCATAGGTGCCCAAAGAAATATTTCGGAATTAACGAAACATGGGTAAAGCCTCGGTAAAGCCGTATGCGCCACTCTGGATGAAGCGAAACGAATATACATTTTTTCATTTCCATTGTTCGGAGTTTCATCAGTTTGAAAAACGGAGCATTGCAGTGTTAAATTCGTCCCGTTAAATTAACCGGGTATTTCAGAGTCGGTTAGACGGGGCAAAGTTGCGTATTTAGGTAACTAACAAAATGCAGCTTAGAAAGTTTCGAAATCCTGTACTTCCGAAGAGAGTCGAAGATAAAACGAATTTCCCCATAATCATTTTAATTTTTTCCTGACTTGATTTGTAGTGCGATATTAAAATGAATTGCACATTAAAATTGCCACTTTTTCTTCTGCGTCTATTATCCTCCTGCATCAGCTCTATTTTTTCTTATTAGCGCCATATTGAATTTAAACAGGTGAAGCGAGTTTAAATTCTGATTCCAAAAATGTATAATATTTCATACATTCACGTTGCCAAACATTAGTTATTTCAGAAAAAGAGAATTTCTTAGGTAGGCCTTGAAATTATCAGATAGACATTTGTTTCCTCACATTGAACGTAGCAACTGAGTTTGGAAGACTGAGAAGAGAAATTAATAAAGCAAGCGGTGAACAATATACAGAGAATTGCATACAATTTAACGAACGAGGTTTTGAACATTTACCATGATTAACTCTGCCTATTTGTGATTATTATTGCTATTTCAATCTATAAAATGTTAATTTCGTATTCAGGTTTCAGCATACTTGTTTATTTCCTCATATATTTCATTCAAAAAGCATAATTCCCGGTCAACTAAGGAACATCACTACACTTGGACTGAAAACTCCATCTAAATGTATAAAATTCTAATATAACGTACATTTGAAAAAACAAAGTCTGTGATGAAGGCCCAAAGAAGAACCCTTGAATTGTATATTTGACTATGCCATCTTGTAGAGAAAAAAAAGTGGCAGTAACAACATGTAATTCACAAATTAAGACCTATCTCAAGTAAAGTCATGAAAAACAAGAAATGATTTAGCGATAAATCTGGTATAAGAAACAAAGGACTCCAAGGCCTACCTAGGAAATGCTGTATTTTTTTGTAATAAGATCTAGCAATGTCAACGTATGTATTATACATTTTTAGAATCAGAATTACACTCTATTCACGTGTGCATGAAATCGAATCTTGGGACTTGAGAAAAAATAAATTTGATGCTGGAGGACAAGAGACGAAACATCATATTGAAATTTTATGCCATCTTGTAAAGGGGTAAAGGTGGCGATATGAATGTGCAATTTATGTAGAAATCCCACTAAAAATGAACACAGGAAAAAATTAAAACGATTTTGGGAAAGTTCGGTACTTTGAATTTAGGAAATTTCTAAGCGGCATTTCGTTAGTTACTTAAATACGCAACTTTGTCTCTACTTAAGCAACTTCGTATTTCTTACCGTTTCCGAGACCCCAATGGAATTTAAAATACCCGGTACAAAACAGAATTATTTTTCAATATCCTTAAAATGACACGTACTGTTTCAGATTGTTGCATAACCAGGTAGCTATAACCTCCACGTCTTTAAGCTCATATCTATAATATCTCCCCTTAGAATTTAATCTAACAATGGCGCTTCCTCATTGAGGAACTTGAAGGGAGGATTTAGCATTTGCATAATTTCACGGTAGGCTGTAACAGTTGTCAGGTATTGAACATCTTCAGAATCTTGTCTTGGAAAATTTGAACGTGTTAAAAATCTTTGTAAATTGTGAAAATCATGAAAACGTTTAAAATTATGAGTATTTCTGTAATTTTTAAAATTATGAAAATTCTGAAGCTGGAAAATTTTGAAAAAAAATTTGAAAATTTTGGAAATTTTGAAAATTTTTAGCACCTTCAAAATTCTGAAGTCATCGTAAATGTTATAAATTTTGAAATTCTCGAAAATTTTGGAAATATTGAGTTTTGAAGATTTCTAAAATTTTTAAAATTGTTAATGTTGAAAATTTCGGAAATTTTTGTACATTTTGAAATTTGAAAATTTTGGAAATATTTATGACCATTTTGATAATTTTGAAAATTCTAAAAGTTTGGAAAATTTTTAGTTATTTTGAAAATTCCGAAGATTTTGAATTTCTTTGAAAATTCTGAGAATCTTGAAAATCCTGTAAATTTTTCAAATTTTGAAACTTCCAAAAATTCTGGAAATTTCGAAAATATGGGAAGTTTTGTAAATTTTTATAATTTTGAATTTAGTATACTTTATAATTTTGAAAATCTTAAAAATTTTGAATATTTTGATTAGTCTTCAAATTATCAAAATCTTAAAATTCTGAATATTTTGAAAATTATACTAATTTGGAGAATTTTAAAAATATGTGATTACTTCTACAGTCTACCGAGAAATGCAAATGCTAATCCTCCTTTGAACATTCCTCAAGAAAGCGTTATTGTTTGAAGTCCAAGGACACGCAACCCTCAAGGAGCGTCTATAAATGTGAGCAAAAGGAAGTCGCTGTGACAATCTCTGAATGCCTGCATACAGATTCATATCATTCACAAAGC